GGGATTTCTGCTGGGGCTGCCCCGGCTCTGCCCTGCCGTGGTGCCATCGGCGTCAGCGGGAAGGGGTGCGTTGCAGTCCCCTGGGTGGAAGCACTGATGGGTTTGGAGTCAAAGCTGAAAGCGGTGGGAGGGTTTCTTTGGAGAAGGGAATGTCCTGGAGCACTTCTGGGCCTGTCAGTGGGTCTTTCCCCAAAGAGGGATGGAAGGGATGGTTTCCTTACAAGGGTCGGAGGTCTCTGTCATATTTGCACAGCCAATCCAGTTTGTGGCTTCCTTTTCTAGCTGTAGTTGATTACTCTCCGCTTAAATGAATGGCAGAAAGAGCCTCAGTCCAAACTGAGCATCCTGTGTGTGTCCCTGAGCTGACTTGAATACGCGACTTCAATATATGAAGCAGAGAAAGTCACTGGCATTTATTAGCATGAGCTAGTGCTGGGTGGTGAGTGAAACGCTTTGTTTATGTAAGATATACAATAAGAAATGTTTGGTACAGCACGTTCTCCCTGAGAAGTCAACACAGCCTGAGCCTGTGCTGGCACCCACTCAGCACACTTCTCCCGTTCCTCAGGCCGGATTTTTGGGCAGGAATATCATCTTGCCACCCTGCAGCCGACTGCCACGACTTGGCTGCTGTCCACAACACGTCCCCGTGTCCTGGCTGAAGGGCGAGGAGGTGCCATGGAGCCAGCGAACTGCTCATGTTTCCCTGTGAAAATGAGGACTTTTGGATACTTTGAGCGGTCCAGGAGGGAACGCAGGAAACCTGGAGTGTGGGGATTGAGGTGGTCTGGCAGCCTCTCCTCCACGCTGGCAGACTTGCTGCTCTCGTCTCAAATCTCCTTCCCTTGGAGGAAAGCAACTCCTGCTGTTGGGAAGGGCTGTTCCCTTCGGCGCTGGGATGTGCCTTCCTCACGTCTGCCTGCTGCGGGATCCAGCTGGGTGCGACAGAGAGGGGCTGGTTGCTCTGGCCCACGGCTCTGCCGGGAAGGGTTTGTGAGTCTCCTATGGCTTTGTCTAACCTGATACCTGTCTACAGAAGCAGCCCAGGGCTGCTGCCTTCAACATCACATGTCTTCTGGGGTATCGGGGAGGTGATTCTGCCACTCTACTCTACTCTAGTCTGGGGAGACCCCACCTGGAGTACTGCCTCCAGCTCTGGAGCCCCCAACAGAGGAAAGACATGGACCTGTTGGAGTGGGACCAGAGGAGGCCCCGGAGATGCTGCGAGGACTGGAGCCCCTCTGCTGGGAGGACAGGCTGGGAGAGTTGGCGGGGTTCAGCCTGGAGAAGAGAAGGCGAAAAAGGGGAGACCTTATTGCATCCTTCCAGTGCGTAAAGGGGCTCCAGGAGAGCTGGGGAGGGACTTTTTACAAGGGCATGGAGTGATAGGACGAGGGGGAATGGCTTCAAACTGGAAGAGGGGAGATTTAGATGAGATATGAAAAAGAAATTCTTTCCTGTGCGGGTGGTGAGCCCCTGGGGCAGGTTTCCCCGAGAAGCTGTGGCTGCCCCATCCCTGGAGGTGTTCAGGGCCAGGTTAGACGGGGCTTGGAGCAACCTGGGCTGGTGGGAGGTGTCCCCGCCCAGGGCAGGGGGGTTGGAACTGGATAGTCTTTAAGGTCCCTTCCAACCCAAACCATTCTATGATTCTGGTGTGGGTACAGAGGTGAGCCAATTGCCTTTCTATTTTGCAAAGCATCCAGTGAGGTACCTGGCTGAGAGATGACGCTCCCTCGTTTGCTACATTTCATCATAATCAAAAGGAAAAAGAAAAATGGGAGTAACAATTCGGATTTCTTTATGGAAACCAGCAGGTTTATATGTGTGTGTGTGTGTCTTTAAAGGGAAAGAATGG